ACTACATATTCAAAATTCTTGAAGTGCTAACCAGTGCAGTTCGAATAAAGAAAAAGCCAGCAAGCAAAATCAACTGAAAAAACCATAGCAACAAGATAATTCAGTAAGGGGACTGATTACACATTTATAATTTCAAATTCAATTTTTTTTCTATATGCAATATAGGAAAGATTATGTGTTACGTAAAATAACAATAAAAAGCATGCCAAAAAGTAAATCCAAAAAGAGATGTAAAAGTCTTCAGTGAGTATGGAAGATACATATTTTATCCCTAGATTGGAAGATCCAGAGTTTTAAAAGATACAGTTTTTCCGTAAGTCTATATATTCGGCATAAACTTAGTAAGAACCCCAAAAATATTTCTTGGAATCAGGTTTAAAAACCTAAAAATGTGTAATGGAAAAAAAAATGTTTTTAACTTACATAATGGAGGATCAGAGTTTATGAAATACATAAAAAACTCCTGCAAATTAATAAGAGGACTGAAAAGAAATGTGCCATTTCATTATATTGACAGTGATTTTTCTCTAGATGGTAAAATAGAGTGAATTTTTTTCTTCTCTCACAATTCTCTATATTGTCTAATTTTTTAAAAAATGCATATGAAATTCTGAAATCAGAGGAAACAAATGTTTTAAAGTTGGTTATCTAGAATACAGAATGAGTTTTCTTTTTTTTTTTTTTTCCCCTTTTTGTCTTTTTTTTACTAACCAGTAACGGGATCGCAACCCTCGGTGTCGTGCCTGTACCGGGGACCGGCAACGGGATCGCAACCCTCGGTGTCGTGCCTGTACCGGGGACCGGCAACGGGATCGCAACCCTCGGTGTTACGTCCACACCGCGCTCAGCCAGTGAGCGGGAACCGGTCTCCACATGGGATCCGAACCCTCGGCGGGAGTGCCGCCGCACTCCCAAGCGGTGCACTCTCCAGTGCGCCACCGGGCCGGCCCGAGTTTTCTTAATAGAGGCAGAATGTGTTCTCTTTTTTATTTTTTTATTTTTTTTCCTTTTTGTCTTTTTTCGTGGCCGGCAACGGATCGCAACCCTCGGTGTTGCGTCCACACCGCGCTCAGCCAGTGAGCGGGAACCGGTCTCCACATGGGATCTGAACCCTTGGCGGGAGCGCCGCCACACTCCCAAGCGGTGCACTCTCCAGTGCACCACCGGGCCGGCCCGAGTTTTCTTAAGAGGCAGAATGTGTTCTCTTAACCATACTACCCTCTCCTACTGCCTCATGAATACATGCCTAATTTTCACCACAGATTGGTAGTGAAGCTTCAAGAAGAGAAGCTGAAAAACTTATCCCAGATACACAGATCACTGTTGTATATTGAGTTATGAATGACTGGTTATCACTATTGATTATACCTTACATCTAATTAGATTTTCGTTTTGAGCTTCCATTTGTATCATGGTCAGTTGTTAAAAAAAAAAAAAAAGTATGACATAGAACTAGTGAGTGAAGAGCAGCTGAGAAATAAAAATGTTAATAGGAAGCAAGAAATGTAAATGTTGGTTTACTTTTAGAAGAATGCATTTACCTTTTAATTACATGGTCACCATAGTTAACACTATATTCCCAAAACCTAGCACAGTGCCTTACACTGATTGATATTTATTAAGTTGGTAAAAACGAATATTAAGTAGACTGTTCCTAGTTGTAATATTCTTGCCTTTGATGTGAAAAATCATGAAGATATAACAGGTACAGTAAGCTAAGAGTTTCATATAACAAATATGACAGAGTACTTGGTAAAAAAAAAAAAAATCAGATGTTAAGATAGGAAACATCTATTTTTGTCTATAAATTTAACCAGCTATATTTATAATTTGTTCTTCATTTTTCCATTTTTGTGATTTTTCTCACAATTAAAAATTTAAGGTAGCTGTTCCACTAGATGCTGGTAATTTATTGGTCTTTATGACTCTAGCTTATTAAGTTTTCATCAAATTTGTTCTCAGAGTTTATAGCATGAGCTTGTTCTATGCCGAGTACTGTAAAGACAGGACATAAGACTGCCTGCTAAATCTACGTCTTTCTCTTTAAAATACTTGTAGTCTAATTGGAGAGACGGTAGTAACTATGTGAAATTGGGGTTTTTCCTCTTAGTGTCAAATTTACCAACCAGATGAATCTGGACAGTTTTAATAAAGATAGAATAACAAAACTATGTACTTGATTTTCTTTTCTTTCTTTCTTTCTTTCTTTCTTTTTTTTTTTTTTAAAGATGACTGGTAAGGGGATCTTAACACTTTGACTTGGTGTTGTCAGCACCATGCTCTCCCAAGTGAGCTAACCGGCCATCCCTATATAGGATCCAAACCCATGGCCTTGGTGTTATCAGCACCACACTCTCCCAAGTGAGCCACAGGCTGGCCCTTATACTTGATTTTCTAATTATAAACTCCAGAGTAGAGACTGTTTTGATTTTTTTTTTTTTTGTCTTTTGTCCGTGTCCGGCAACGGATCGCAACCCTCAGTGTTGCCCCCGTACCGGACCGGGGACCGGCAACGGGATTGCAAACCTCGGTGTTGCTCCCGCGCCTCGCTCAGCCAGTGAGCGGGAACCGGTCTGTATGTGGGATCCGAACCCTCGGGCGGGAGCCCCGCCGCGCTTCCCAAGCGGCGCACTATCCAGTGCGCCACCGGGCCGGCCCAGAGACTGTTTTGATTTTTGTTTGTTTGTTTGTTTGTTTTTGTTTTGTTTTGTTTTTTTCCTTTTTGTCTTTTTTCGTGTCCGGCAATGGATCGCAACCCTCTGTGTCGCGCCCATACCGGACCGGGACCGGCAATGGGATCGCAACCCTCAGTGCTGCACCCGCACCTCGCTCAGCCAGTGAGCGGGAACCGGTCTGTATGTGGGATCCGAACCCTCGGCGGGAGCGCCACCATGCTCCCAAGCGGCACACTGTAGCAGTGCGCCACCGGGCCGGCCCTGTTTGTTTGTTTGTTTCCTCTGAAATTCTGAGTTTCATCTAAAGTAGATAACTAGCAATTTGGATTATTGATTCAGAAAATATTGAATGTACACCCAGTGCTAGGTATTGGGAATATAGTGGTGACTATGGTTACCTCACAGAGTGTAAAGTGTAATGGAATGATGTAATTTAACAAATGACCATTTAAGTGAATGCATGCATGCATGCATGTCTTGGTACTTCTGTGGAGGAAAAATAAAGTGTCGTGAGAAAGTATAACAGGGAACAGAATTTTGATTGGGGAGTCAGGGGTATGTCTCTATGGGAAGTGGTATATTAGTTGGGGCAGTGTGGGTGAGTTACAGATTAACCAGGCAATGAATCATGGTACCGGTGCTTCATGTGAAGGCAGCAGCATATTTGTGCAAAAGTCATGAACTAAAAAGAAAGCTAAGGTGACAGAAATGTAGGGGGCAGGAGAAAGAATGGTAAATGATGAAGTGAGGAAGATACACAGGTCAGATGACTTTTAGGAACTTGTAGGTCACATTAAAGGTTTGGATTATGTTCTAAGTGTATTGGGGGTGCCATTGAAAGGTTTTAAACAAGTGAATGGCATGATATGATTTACATTTTTAGAAGATCATTCTGGCTACTGTGTGGACAGTTGATTAGAGGGGGACAACAGATGGTGAGAGAGACCAGTTCTACCAAACTCGTAGTAATCCAGATGACAGGGGAGGTAGAGGATTTGAGATACAAATTCTGTACTGTAGATTAGACATTTTATTGACTGTCATTTCAGATTTTTATATGTATGCAATATAATAATGTAGATACACAATTTAAAAACAAAAGTGGAATTATATTACTCAAACTTTTTGGAAACTTGTTTACTTCATGTATCATGATCATTTTTCCTTGATAACAACCCATTTTTGTTTCTGAAGATTTTTGCTGTTTAATGACAATCAAAGATAGAGTTCCAAACATAAATGAGATAGATACATGAGTTTCATTGTGTGTGTATGTGTGTGCATGCTTGTGTTTGTGTTACTTTTCATAGTTATTCTTAGACCATAGTTTTGGACTCAACTTTCTTTTATATCTTTTTCTAAACCTTTCTAAGTTTTCATTGTTGGGAATTAAACTACATTGCCTTGGGCTGGCCCATGGCTCACTTGGGAGAGTGTGGTGCTGATAACACCAGTCAAGGGTTAAGATCCCCTTATCAGTCATCTTTAAAAAACAAACAAACAAACAAACAAAAAAACCCAAAAAACTACATTGCCTTGTATGCTAATCTGATGTTAAGAGTAAAGTGTTCACTCTTATCCTGTGGTAAATTCAAAAGCATTTGGTGAAATTCTGGTGAGTGAAAGAGCAATAGTATTTATCTCTTTTTAACGATGCGCATGTATTATTTGAGGTAAATATTTAACACGTCTACTAAAATGTTATTTTAGATAGCAGTTATAAAGCCAGTTAGAATGTGTAAATGATTATGACATGATTAGGAATCCTTACATCCTGGATTACTATAGACACACACACTCTACTGATAGTTTGTGAAGTGTCAAACTGAGATTCTTAAGGTGGTCTGAAGAGCCCCTAGTGGAACATATTGATCAAGCTGTGTTTTCTGGACATTATCCTTGCTGTTATTTTGACAGTTTTACACTAACTATCCAGTTTGTTTAAGGAAAAAAGTTAACAGTTTCTTGAACATAAGTTTCTTGAATATAACAATTTTTATGTTTAAAAATATGTAATTTAGCACTTTGTAGTCCTTACCATGTTTCAGGTACTGTTCTAAGTGTTTTATAAATGTTAATTCTTAACAATTATATACAAGTATTAAAATGTTTTTGTATAAGTTGTAGAAATTTGTTAAATTGGTGTTACATTTTTCTTAGTGTTAGCATCTTTCCTGATATTGCTGTGTAGTCATACTTACTGAATCATATTCATTAAGCTCATCAAGTATTAAATCCATCAAATTATAGCCATCAAATATCATTAAAGTAGAAGTTAAAATTAAGTTAAAACTTTTTAAAATCTTTTTTTTTTTTAAATTTCAGCTTTACCAACAGGGACGCTTATGTCAACTGGGCAGTGAATTTTGTGAATTAGAAGTTTTTGCTAAAGTATTGAGAGCTTTGGATAAAAGGTAAATAATTTTCTAAAAAAATAGTAAAATATACATAACATAAAATTGACCATTTTAACCATTTTTAAGCGTACAGTTCAGTGGCATTAAGTATGTTCACATTGTTGTGCAACCATCTATTTCCAGCCTTTTCCTCATTCCAAACAAGAACTAAATAATGACTCCCCATTCCCTCCTGCCCTCAGGCACTGGCAACCAATATTCTGCTTTCTGCCTCTATGAGTTTGATTACTTACTCTAGGTATCCCATATAAGTGGAATCCTATAATGTTTGTCTTTTTGTGTCTGTCTTATTTCACTTAGCATAATGTTTTTAAGATTTATCTGTGTTGTAGCATGTCAGAATTTCATTCCTTTTTAAGGCTGGATAATATTCCATCACATGCATATACCACATTTTGTTTATATGTTTGTCTGAAAATGATATTTGTGGTATTTCCATCTTTTGGCTACTATGGATAATAATATTGTGAACATGGGTATACAAATATCTCTTTGAGTTCTTGTTTCAATTACTTTGATGATACCAGAAATAGAATTGCTGGATCATACAGTAATTCTATTTTTAATTTTTTGAGGAACCTCCATACTGTTTTCCATAAATTCATTTTTAAGTAACATTTATTTTTTACTGATTTCGTATGTGTTTTGGAAAGTATTTCTTAAATGTGATCATATCAGAAAACTTAGAATGGGTAAAATAATTTTGCCTTCATAAGTACAGTGCTAATATAGATATGTAAAGTTGTTTCATTGAGAAACTGTCTCAAATTGGATTCTTCATACACCTGGTATTATTTTGCTGTGTGTTATGTTAATTTATTTGCAGTTGTTACCAGATCCCCAGAAACTCTGTCCTGCCTTTTTTCAGTCACTACTTCCTCTACCCCAGGGTAACCCCTAGATTCGTTTTGCGAGAATGTTCACAGCAGCACTGTTTATGATAACTAAAAACTGGAAGCAACCCAAATGTCCATCTATAATAGAATGAATAAATAATGATATATCCATACAGCGGAATAACATACATACACAGCAATGAAAATGAAAAAACTACAACACATAGGTGATTCTCATAAACATAATATCGAGCAAAAAAAAAAGCCAAACACAATCTTCATACTGTATGATTCTCTTTATGTAAAGTTCTAAAACTTTATATAAGATTTTGTGTTATATACAACCGTCGTTTTTTCATTCTTATTGCTATATATGTATTGTATTCTGTCGTATGAATATACTGTTATTTATTCATTCTATTATTGATGGATGTTTGGGTTGCTTCCAGTTTTTAGCTATTATAAATAGTGCTGCTGTGAACATTCTTGTACATGTCTTTTGGTGAACATATGCATGCGTGTCAGATATATTCCTAGAAGTAGAATTTTAAAGCATTTTATTTTAAGACTTACAACTTGAGGAGTGCTATCCAGAGTGATATGGAATTTAATAAAAATGTTGTCACAGTAGTTGTACAGGCCAAACAAATGAACTTGGTGACAAAGAGGAGAGAATTTGTTCCACTTGCCTCCATCCCCTTTGGAAAGCTAATACTCTGGCAGTTTAGCTTTTTGAGTTCAAGAAAGGGAGACTGAATTTATCTTCCCCATTGTAGGTATTATATAGTGGGAGCCAAATAGAAATGATCTGGCCTTTGATCGTACTTTCTGTTCTCTTTAGCATTTCTTCTCTAAATTTACTTTAATCACCATTTCTTTTTCCGAACCTACATTTCTAGGAAAATAAGATAATTTTGCAAAATACTGCTGATCTCTAATATGAACATTACTCAGTTGTTTCATTTGTTCAACAAATTAAATAAATACTTGTTGAATGCCTAGTTTGTGCCAGGTACTGTTCTAGATGCTAGAGGTTCAGTAGTGATCAAGATCTGCAGGGTCTCTTTCTCATGGAGGTTATTATTTAGAGAAGAATGATGAGATAATAAACAGGTACATAAATAGCATGATTTCGGTGTTAAAGGATAACTTTGAAATGTGGTCTGTGTACTAAGACTATAGAGAAACTTCTTGGTTAGATGACTAATTAAAATTAGTCTATACACAAATAATAGAAGAGAACTTCTCAATTTTGGTATAAAGAAGCTTTTGGGATAACACCAAGGTCAAGAGTTGGGATCCCTGTACCGGCCAGCCACCAAAAAACAAAAACAAAAAAACAGAAACAAAAAGCATTTTTACTCTACGGAGAGGTTAGCTTTCTGGGATTTGAATTTTATGCAGTTTGGAACATGGCCATTGTAAAGATTTAGTGGAATACCTCTTTTTAATCTCTTAAGTTATCTTTCACCAAGTCCAAATCTCTTGCTAAGTGTTTTATATATTGGTGGAACTAAAAGAATGTAATTTGACATTTTTTTCCCTTTATTCAAAGCAGCAACTCCTATTTACAATTTTGGTTTGTTTTTTTTTTTTTTGTCTTTTTGCGTGTCCGGCAACGGATCGCAACCCTCAGTGTTGCCCCCGTACCGGACCGGGACCGGCAACGGGATCGCAACCCTCGGTGCTGCCCCCGCGCCTCGCTCAGCCAGTGAGCGGGAACCGGTCTGTATGTGGGATCCGAACCCTCGGTGGGAGCGCCTCCGCGCTTCCCAAGCGGCGCACCAGCGCAGTGCGCCACCGGGCCGGCCCTACAATTTTGGTTTTTTAAAATATTTTTTTATTGAGATATAATTTACATAACTATAAAATCTGCCATTTTAAATTGTACCATATAATGGCTTTTAGTATATTCACAAAATTTTGTAACCATCACCACTGTCTAATGCTAGAACATTTTATCACCCCAAAAAGAAACCGTTAACAGTAATTTCCTATTTCCTCTTACCCTCAGTCTCTGGCTGACCATTAATCTACTATTATTTATTCTGTGGATTTACCTATTCTAGATATTTTAGATAAATACAGTCATACAATACATCGTCTTTTTTGACTGACTCTTTCACTTAGCATAATGTTTTCAAGATTAATTCATGTTATTGCTTCTGTCAAAACTGCTTTCCTTTTTTATGGCCACATAATTTTCCATTGTAAGAATAATACTGTGTTTTGCTTATCCACTCATCTATTGAGGAACATTTGGGTTGTTTCCACCTTTTGGCTGTCATGAATGATGCTGCTATACATGTTCATGGGCAAGATTTTGTATGGACATATTCTTAATTTTCTTGGGTCTATACCTAGGGTATATGCGTATGGTAACCTTATGTATAATTTACTGAGGAACAGCTAAACTTTTTCACAGTGGCTACACCATTTTACATTGCCACCACCAATGTATGAAGGTTCCAATTTTTCTGCATCTTGCCAACACTTTAAAAAAAATTACTGTAGCCATTCTATTGGGTATGAAGTGGTATCTTGTGATTTTGATTTGCATTCCTTCCCCTAATCACTAATTATGTTTAGCATCTTACCTTATGTTTATTGGCCATTTGTGTATCTTATTTTAGAGAAATGTCTATTCAAATCCATTGCCCATTTTTAATTATCTTTTTATTTTTGAATTATAATTTGGTTTTTCAAGCTGATTTTAAAAGTTAGTTTCGTCCTTCATTGCCATGAACTTACACACTGTGTACTTTTCCGGAGTGTTACAGGATCACTCAGTGATCCACTGAGTAGAGATATTAGACTAAATTTGAAATTATTATAGCCTCATAATTCATAAGGCAAAACACTTTTTATCTTATTTCATTCTGGAAAATAATGATAACTGTTATTTAAGGTTTGTTTGTTTGTTTGTTTTTTGGTGGCTTGCTGGTAAGGGATCCAAAGCCTTGACCTGATAATTACCTTGGTGTTACCATGCTGTCCCAAGTGAGGTGACTGGCCAGCCCTGATACTGTTATTTAAAAGAGAAGTAGCTAGCACATTCTAAAAGGACAAAAATAAGTTACCTCTATAAAATAACCTTTTCCTCTCTTTCAGACATTTGCTTCATCATTGTTTTCAGGCTTTGATGGATCATGGTGTTAAAGTTGCTTCAGTCTTGGCCTATTCATTCAGTAGACGGTGCTCTTATATAGCAGAATCAGATGCTGCAGTAAAGGAAAAAGCCATTCAGGTTGGCTTTGTTTTAGGTAAGTAATGGTAAAAATAGAGGAGTGTTTTTTCCTGCTAATAGACTCAGAATTAAACCTGCTAACAATAAAAGATTCCTCCGGGAATTTTCCAATGTCTACATAAGGAGTTTATGAGAAAAACATCAGAAGAACTAGGTATGATTTATTAACCATTAACTATACTAGGCATTTAATGGTATCATTCCAAATCCTCATGACATTCCAGTGAAGTGATGGTATTAATAGCATTGTATAAATGAGAAGCAGACTCAGAAAAGTTGAGTAACTGGTTCAAGTCACATAGCTAATAGTATAACTAAGTTTAGAATCCTGTGTCTATATGTTTCCAAAGCACATATCTTTCTACCATGTCATCCTGCCACCAACTTTTTACCTGTTTTTACTATATGCCATGGTATGCGATTTAATCTTTTCGGGGCCTCAGAGACACCAGCAACACCCAGCCAGGTGCCCCTCCTAGGGAATGTAGATCCTAGACCCATGGACCCCCTTTGCAGAGCTCCAAGGCACCAGTACCAGCCTAGCAGCATCACAGATCCACGGGGCACCTCCTCAGACCTGTAATAGTTTGTAAACTTTGGTTTCTCTGTGCCTCAGATTTTTTCGTCTATTAAATTGGGGCACTAATAGCATTTAAATGGTAGGTGTGTTGTGAAAATTAAATGAGAGAATTCATGCGGAGTGGTTACCACGGTACAAAGTGGTTTACATGGTGAAGTAAAAATGTATTAAATGTTAACCATTATTATGGGTCAAGATCCTCAAAAAAGGTGGACAGTATTCTGAGGAAATAATGGCCAGTACATTAGGACTGTTGGAGGACACTAAATTAATTTCTTGCTAAAAAATGAGATGAGTAAGCATCACCATCTCTTTTATTTTTGTATCCTCTGTGATACGCTGCTATTCTAAGAAGATTAAGTTTATTCAGATTAAAGTTCCTGGTTTTTCTTGTTCTTTAGGTGGCTTTCTTTCAGATGCAGGTTGGTACAGTGATGCTGAGAAGGTTTTTCTGTCCTGCCTTCAATTATGTACTCTGCATGATGAGATGCTTCATTGGTTTCGTGCAGTAGAATGTTGTGTAAGGTAAGTTGGAACACATCCTACAATTATGTGCTGCAGTGGTATTTAGTGGCTTTTATAGTTTTAGTTCTTCTAAGTATATTCCAACATTTGAATAAATCTCTGAGGTGATATTTATGTGTCATAGTTTTACTTGTCTGGCCTCCTGTCTCCCATCTCCAAAATATAATAGTTAACGTGCTATAGACATCTTAGCTTAGATTTGAGTATTATGAACCAGAATGTGTATATTACATACATTTTTGCTTTGTCATACGGCTTCCTTGTTCATTCATTCAACAAGTATTTATTGGATACTTATGTACTAAGAACTGTGCTAAGCTCTCAGTGCTAGGACCCTCGAGAAATGTATGTTTTTTTCTTGGGTTTTATTTTTTACTCCTTCTTTGGTTACATTTCCATAGTTGTGCATAACAAGATTAGTATTTTACTTATGAGTTTTCTTTGAAGATACATTTATTTATTTATTTTTTCAGATGTGCTTTAAAGAAAAAGCCTGCAAATTTAGAAGTAATGCTGCTTTTATTCTAATTTTCTCTACATGTGCAATATTTAACTTTAGATGTTTTTGTATAGGTGCTCTCTGTATCCCCCAATTTGATGTGACATTTCTTAAAAAGAATTTTTATATAACACTCAAGGAGAGTAAAAATAAAGTCAAAAAATAAAACATCAGAAATTCCTTGTCATAAGTTAACTAAAGTTGGGTCAATTTACTGAATTTACAGTCTTCTATTTTTATGGAATTAAGCGTCATATTTTCTAGGTATTTTAGAGATGGGTTGATTAAATATGAACCCCTTCAGAGTGAGAATATAGATTGCTCTATAAAACCATTGATTTAAGCTAAAATTAAGTAAAGCTCTCTCTTCTTCTTTAAAAAAAAAAAAAAAAAACAGCAGGATTTCAGTCTTTTGAGGCTGTCAATGCCCTGTTTTATACAGGGATTACCTGAGTTAGGGAAACATTCAAATTCTGAAGTTAATTTTGTAATGTGTAAGCATAATTATAAATAACATTATAGAACCTTATGATAATTTCCCAAATATACTTTAGAAGTATATGATAGATTATAGAAATATTTGTGTATAGAAACTATAAAGGGATTGGCTTATAATTTGTGGTACTGATAAAAGTAATTTGTGTCCTCTTTCCTCTTCTGCCTATTCTAGTCTCCTATTCCTACGAAGATAGACTATTCCATATGGTATTTGGAGGGGGGTTAGTTAAATATGAGGGTACTTCAAAAATTTTGTGGAAAAATAAGGTTAAAAGATAGTACAAATCTTTCCACGAACTTTTTGAAGTACCTTTGTATTTCTATGTACATGAACTAGTTAATTTGGAACAGAAAAGCCATTTTATATGATTTCGTTATAGATTTATAGTAGTCTTAACCAAAAGATAAAGCATTTTATTTTTGTTTGTGCTTGATTTTTATGTACAAAATCAGAAGATTTATTTCACCCAGATTCCTAACATTTATTCTAATTTGAAGGCTCCTATATAAATTTTGCTTTGCCCTAACCAAAAGGTTTAGTTTTCTCACAGGACCAAGGCAAGTTCTCTTCTTCCTAGTTTATCATCTTTAGCCTTTGGCAAGTTGTTCACATTATTATGGTTCCAAGTGTTATAGGCAGGGAGAAGGGGGAAGGGGAAAAGGTTCATGCCGAGTCTGCTTTTTCTTTTCTTTTCTTTTCTTTTTTTGAAATTTTTCTAAAAAATAATAGCTTTCCCAGAAACCTAACCCTATCTCTTTGCTAACTGCCTTTTTTTTTTTCCTTTAAAGATGAGCAGTAAGGGGATCTTAACCCTTGACTTGGTGTTGTCAGCACCACGCTCTCCCAAGTGAGCAAACCCGCCATCCCTATATAGGGATCCAAACCCGTGGCCTTGGTGTTATCAGCACTGCACTCTCCCAAGTGAGCCACGGGCCAGCCCTGCTAACTGCCTTTTAAATTGGGAAATTGGGACACATTCTTCACATCATCCAACCTGTATAAGATGGTCTGGGGAGCAAAACATTTTTAATTGTGCATATTGCTACCCTGAATGAACTCATGAGTCTACATTAAGGAAGAAGGGGTGGGGGATATTGAATAGGGAACTAACAATATACAGTGACTACCTTGGCTATCTTTGGAACAAGCACATGTGAAATTAGAATATTGTCTGGACTAAGAAACAAAACCATTTATAATACCAGCTTACTAGAGATACAATCAAGGTGGCGGAATAGACGGTCTGCAGCATCAGTCTCTCCCACAAATCAACTAATTTACAGCTATACAAATGTAACATCAGCCATGCCAGGGCCGCTGGAGCTCAGGGGAAGAGGAGGAGAGACCTATGGAGTTCATGAAGGTAGGAGAAACTACGATGAGAGAAAGAAAAAGCTGCTTTGAGCATTTCGGGCCACGGCTGCTTTAAGGCTTGAGCTGATAATCAGCGCATGGAGCAGGAGCCAGCAGAAGCCACAGCTGTGCCCTTCAGATGGCGTTACTTGGAGGCGGCAGGAGAGAAGAGGGCCTTGGTGGCCCCCAGGACAGCAAGACCACTAATAGGGTTCATGTGGACCCATGCAGGAGTGAGGAGCCAGAACAAATGCAAAAAGGGAGCCATTCAGAAGCTGGTGAGTCATCACAAGGGACCGGTGCATGGCCCGTCCCATGGGAAGTGTTTGCAGCATGGGCAGTGGGGGAGACAGGACCATCAGGGGAACACTGGGGCACAGCAAGGACAGCTGATCTGCCCCCCAATCAGCACAGGACCACTCAGAGGAGACTGGTCAGGAACGCAGAATTGCATGGGGTGCAGTTTGATGAAAAAACTCAGGCCCAGATCAGAGTTTCTACAGAACACAGATCCACCGGGTTTCTGTAGAGCCAGATGTACCTATAAGGTCAACCATTAAACCTTGAGCTGCACAAAAAGCCTTCCCTAGGGAAACAGCAGCAAAGTAGCAATTTAAACAACCACACAGCTCAAGTACTGGTTCCCACAGGAAGTTCCCCTGTGTTAGAAGCAAAGGACAAAAAATTAGTTCCACCCCAGGCACACAACCAGCACCTTGGGGCCTGCGTGGGAACTGGAGGCTTGGACCTGGGGACTGGACCCCACTCCTACTTCCAGACAAACTGCACCAGTGTGTCAGGGCCAGCCTGGGGACCTGAAGCATGGAGAAGAGGACTGGACCCACCTCCCACAACCAGGCACACCAAGCCAGCACCTTGGGGCCCACCCACGGTCCCGGGGCATGGAGAAGGGGACCAGACCACCCTCCCACAACCAGGCACACCATGCCAGAACCTTGGGGCCTGCCCGGGGACCCGAGGCAAGGAGAAGGGGAATGGACCTCTCTCCCACAACCAGGCACACTGAGCCAGGGCTTCAGGGCCCACCCGGGGACCTGAGGCATGGAGAAGGGGACTGGACCTCTCTCCCACAACCAGGCACACCACGCCAGCACCTTGGGTCCCGCCCAGCAACCCAGGGCATGGAGAAGGGGACTGGACCACCCTGCCACAACCAGGTACACTGAGCCAGCACCTTGGCGCCTACCCAGGGACCCGGGATATGGGGTCGGGGACCGGACCACCCTCCCACAATGAGGCACAACATGCCAGCATCTCAGAGCCCATCCAGGGACCCAGGGCATGGTGATGGGGACTAGACCTCCCTCCCACAACCAGGCACAACATGCCAGCACCTCGGAGCCTACCCTGGGACCTGGGGCATGGACAAGGGGACTGGACCTCTCTTCCACAACCAGGCACACCACGCCAGCACCTTGGTCCCCGCCCAGCAACCCAGGGCATGGAGAAGGGGACTGGACCCCTCTCCCAGAACCACGCACATGGCGCCAGTGCCTCGGGCTCTGCCCAGGGACCAGAGGCATGGAGAAGGGGACCAAACACATCCCGCAACCAGGCATACCACCAGTGCCAAGGAGCATGCCAAAAACAGCACCCTCACGTGGGTGGCCCACCACAGCCATCACAATAACCATGGCTACTGCAAAAGTGGCTAGACACCACAGCCACCACACAGATGGTCCGCCAACCACTGGAGTGCATTCACACAAGAAGAGTCACCAGCAGAGACAAAGAGAAGAAGAGGATGTCTCTTTCCACAAAACCCATTTCAGAGTGACAGAAGCATCTGCTATATGATAATATTGGGGGACCTGATCACATCTCTCAGCACTGGACAGATCATCTAGGCAACAAGTTAACAGAGTAACCATTATTCTTTCAGAAGGAGAGAAGAAACCTAGGGCAATTAGAGGGGGGAGGGGGAGGGTATGGGGGAAGGGGAGAGGTTGCACAAGGGGCATAAAGAATATGATTTGTAACAATATATATGCTAGTAATACTGATTTAATCAACATATCTCAATGTTCAACCCCCAAAATATATATAATTGATTTTGATTCAATAAATAAATAATTTTTAAAAAGAAAAAAAAAAAAATACACAGCTTACTGCCTGTGTGCCAAGACAAGAAGTTTTGTCCTTAGGAATTTGAAATTTCAGAATCAAGTTTGCCTGTACACAAGTATAATTGCCAAATTCTCAGTCATTACAGGTGTGTTTAATATAGTTTATAATATATAATATTGTCATCTACTTAATATTTTTAGAAAAAAAAGTTTTAATTTTAAAATTCAAATTTTTATTTTTATTTTATTTTTATTTTTTATTTATTTTTTTTTTTTTAAAGGACGACCGGTGAGGGGATCTTAACTCTTGGCTTGGTGTTGTCAGCACCACGCTCAGCCAATAAGCAAACCGGCCATCCCTATATAGGATCCGAACCCGTGGCCTTGGTGTTACCAGCACCGCACTCTCCCAAGTGAGCCACGGGCTAGCCCTTAAAATTCAAAGTTTTAAAAGCTTAAGTTAGCTTTTTATAAGGCAGAAAGAAATTTGGGGTATTAGTTGACCGTTTAGTTGAAGTGGAAAAGAAGCATTTTGCAGAATAGATACTAACGAAATCCTTTG